TGTACTAACTCTGAACTTAATGCCTGAATTAATAATTTACCAATACATATTTACAAACATCCACACTAACAAATTGAGGTAAATTCGTTATTTTCAAAAGAACAATAAGCGATTTTATGTGTACACGTTAAAATATTCATGTATGAGTGAGTTGAATTTTCGGCTCTCTCCCAGCTGAGCATTTTGCAACTATGTAAATAACTAACCACACCGAAGCACTTTACACCGTGCTGCGTTCGCTGCTGACTTCTACACAGCGACGCTCTACCAGTTGATATCCTTTAAGAAACTTTCAACGAATAGATATTTTTTTGCAAACCCTTACGCATTTCCACGTATGTATGTTTATTTATTTGTATGTAAGTGTGTAAGTGCACATTTGAAACGGTCTGCCTCTTCCATCAGCTTGTTCGGCTATTCGAAGCCACATGCAAGCGCAGAGAATAAGCCGTCTAGCCTGAGTGAGTAAATTGGAGATACTGGGACTAGGCTAACGGTACGAGAGTTAGGCGAATGTACTCGAGTAGCATGGAGCCGCAAAGCTACTGGTATGCATGTTTAGTTGGCCATAGAGGAAGCACACAGGTTGTGGTGAGGACAACATTTGAGCAAAGAAACAGAGGCAGCCACATACTCGTGTGTGCTGCTTGTAATGCTTGATGGCGTGGAGTGCAAAGGTACCAACCAGTACAATGGTACTACATTAATACACTTGAAAATTAACCTTTTGAGAAAGATTTCTGGCACGAAAACTTGGGTATTAAAATCTGATATTGGTGAAACACCCATAAAAGAGAAACTATGTACTAGTAGGTAGGAAGAGAAATTCTATAAAGAAAGTTTGCAGTATTTAAAAAGAATTTCAAATACTGTGAAACAATTTGTAAGCTATTTTTTAATATTTTGAATAGTAATTTAGAAAAATCGGCTAATGACTAATCAAAGCCAACTTAACTGTACTACTTAAATATGCAGCTTTTATCTACAAAAAAAAATTGTTTTATATTTTAAATAAAATCTTTGTAAAAAACCTTGACATAAATTTTTGGTCAGGTAATAACTGGAAATACAATTTGGGTTACAAGTTAACAGAATATAAATTTTTGGAAATTTTAATTTTCTGGTAAATTTAATTGGGCATAAATATTAAGCCATTTAAAAACTCGAAATACAATTTTAATTAAGAAAAATCTGGATAAAATTTTTTGGCAACATAACTTCCAACATAATTATATAAATTTCAATCAATTTAAAAATTGCACATAAAGTTTAAGAACTTTGTATATTGTTTAAAATATATAAATATTTGAAAACTAGACATCAACATAATTCAATTAAAAACAGCACAAAAGTTTCAAGCCATAAAAAACTGGACATTAGATTTTCGTTAATTAAACAGTGGATTTAATTAATTTTATTATAAAACTATACAACAGGTTTTGATCAAAACCTGGACCTATGCAGATCTGAAGCCATTTAAAATCTGGACACAAAATTTGGTAAACTCGGGATATAATTTTTTGGTAACTTCAAAACTGTATACAAATTATGAGAAATTTTAAAACTGGACATTCAGTTTAGGTCGTAAAAAATTGGACATAAATTTAAGCAAATTAAAAAATGGACTTAACAGTTTTGTAGATAAATAACACGCAATAATTTTTTGAAAGTTTAACTTGTTAGGTCGATTTTAACTTGATGTAACTTTTTGGAAATTTTAAAACTGGGCATAAAACAAAATTTTTATATTATAAGCCTTTTGAAAACTGGCCATGAAGTTTTTTTTGCACATAATTTTTAATAATCTAAAAACTCGATAAAAATTAATGATAATTTCAATTTAAAACCTGGAGATAGACTTGAAAAATGTTAAGTTGAATTTTTTTATTTTGAAACTGAATATAATTTTTTGGGAACTTATCAACTGGATATGACTTTCTGAAAGCTTTTAAACATGGAGGAAACTGGATGTAAATTTGAGGCCATTAAAAAGCTGTACACAAAATGTGTGTAGTTTCTAAACCACATATAAATAATTTTTTAGTTTAAAAAAAAACGGACCAGAATTTTCGGTCAATTAAAAACTGAACATTAATTTTAAGCCATTTAAAAACTGGACCTACATATTTATAATTTTTGTTAATTTCTAAACCTCAAATATTTAACTTTTTAATCATTTAAAAATGGACATACTTTTTTGGTAAATTAAAAACTGGCCAAAACTTTTAATTTAAAAATTAGATATAACCTTTTATTAACTTAGAAACTAGATAAAATTTTTTTGAAAATTTGAAAACTGGACAATAAATTTTAGCCATTTAAGAGACAAGGTATCCATTTTAAGCCATTTAAAACTGGACATAAAAGAATTTTAGCTGGCCATATACAATTTTTCAATGACTAAGGAAGTCGTAAAAGTGAAAAAAGTGATCGGTAAAAAGTGTGCATATGCATATACAAAAGCAGATATATTCAGAAGAACCCCGTCTCGTATTGGGATACGAATTAATGTAACTCTGGCAATACTGCGCTTGCCAGGGATGAAGTTTTTTCAGTACAGAAGAGGAGCTTAATAAATGCAGTTGGAGTTTTTAAAAATACCATATTTTTCCCAACTATAAACGTTGGTATTTTTATTTTGTATGCAGAAGTGGTGTCCAGTAAGATACAAACCCGTTTGCATGTCCACTTTTTACTGTTCAGTTTTATAATGCCACATTTTATCAAACATACATGTTTATGTAGTTAAAAATAAATAATAATTTATGGCATACGTTTTTTCTCTTCGTAAAGAAAATTGCATTTACTCATAAAATCATATTCTTTGGTGCTTTATTTAAATTTAGATTAATTATTTCTTTAAGTTTATTCCTTTACTTTAATATCGGATAGTGTGTAAGTATGTTTGTACGATGGTACGTTTTTATTCACACATACATACGTTCATGATTCAATTATTAAAGGTTTTGTAAGTAGCTTTTTTCTAAAATTTGGCACTCCCACCCACAGGGATGGTTTATGGAAGCAGGAGAAAAAGGGGAAGAATTCAATCACACTTCCTAAAATGGGAGCTAAATTCCATAAAAAGGTGTGGATAATAGTGAATGGTGGTATTTTAAAACAAAAGCGAATTTGATTTAATTATTTAATTTAAACAAGCTTATTTACATCGAATATAACCCCCGATTGTTATTGAAAATAAATATTTCTATGTATATACCAAACTTGCGTACGTCAGATGGCGCATAACTCGAGAATGGATGGAGGATGGTCCACTTTCAGCTTTTTTTTTGTTGTATTTGTTTGCCAGATGATGGATATGAAGAAGCTATTTGTTTGTGGAAAATATGCAGTATTTATTAAACAAAAAAAAAACGGCAAATATAAAAATTTGGAGCTTACGTTTCCTTCGCGGATATGGCTCGATTGTTTCGAATATGGTAATTCGAATTCTTTGATGTCGCACTTTTAATATTCTGGGGAGACTATACAACTGTCAGAATATTAACCATTCGCCGGGTTGCCCGAAAAAAAATTTAATGATTAAAAATATCAAAATATAAAAAAATATAAAAATATTCGCCATAAAAAGGCGTTTGCATTGTTCAACTTTGCATTCTACTTTCAACTAATCGCTTTCAACAAAGTTGGTCGCCAACCAACATTCGCCTCGTGCGTAAACCTTTTAAGTGTGCAATTACATACATCGTGCCATTGACTAAACCGAACTGTCGTGTGACGATTGGGCCTATGGATGCGGTTTGGCAATGTTATATTGCGTCAAAGCCTCATTCGGAGACACCAGGATACCTGCGTTGGCTCATTTACCAAAACCATTGCATGCTTTACTTTACAGCGACTTGGCAGAATCAAGAGGTCTCCACGAATATCGACAAATATATTTCGGCATTTAAGGGAATTTCGTTTTTTTAGCCTACATTGAATTTCTGTAGTCCAACGATGCTCAACCATTTTGTCTTGTTGGCGCCAGCGAATGAAGAACAAACATTTCTTCAATTTTAAAAAGTAAAAATTTCACTACTAACAATTTAAAAATGTTCTTAAAACTTGCAAAGATATTTGGAAAAGAAATATCACTGTTTTTGTTTTTAGGAGTAGGGTGGGAGTGTCATTGATAAAATTAGAGCGAGAGAAAGTTTTTCTTACAAAACCTTTCATTATTGAATCATGCTTACGACCATCTATTTTTTACCCAAGCGACGTTTTTGTTTAGGTATGGCAGTAACATCGCTAATGATGATGAGACTCTCTCACAACTATCGATAGTGTTCAAAAAATTTCGGTAGTGCTGGGAAGATAAAGCTATCAAGAGTTTCATCGATTGTTCTCCCTGACCACTGTCAAAATTTCAGCGTCTTCATGGCAATTATTTCTTCATACATCCGCCAACATTAGCAAACGTTTGCAGAAGTTTTATAAAAAAGAAAACATCTCGGATCTAATTTCAATTGTCTTAAAAAAACTATAAACCAATTATAATGTAAGCGATTTCTGTAATAGTTTTTTGTATTAACTTAACCTCAAATTATTAACCCAGGGCGCTCGTCAAACCAAAGTCTGAACTGACACCTGAGGAACTGGCACGTCAGGAAGAGGAGGAATTTAACACTGGCCCGCTATCCGTCCTTACTCAATCCGTGAAAAACAATACACAAGTCTTAATAAATTGTCGCAATAATAAAAAACTGCTTGGAAGAGTCAAGGCTTTCGATCGTCACTGCAATATGGTATTGGAGAGCGTGAAGGAGATGTGGACTGAGTTGCCGCGTACAGGCAAAGGCAAGAAGAAAGTGAAGCCCGTGAACAAAGATCGGTTCATATCGAAAATGTTTCTACGTGGAGATTCGGTGATTTTGGTATTGCGAAATCCTCTGGCAACTGCTGCAGGGAAATGAGTTACAAACAGAAGCATATATAGCAATAAAAAAAATAAGTACATATACCTAAGTCTAATCGCGAATAAATAAACACAATTTTAATTTTTTTAAAAGCAGTTAAAAAGGTATATTTTTACTAAAAAATTTGCAGATTAGATTTGAACCTTACAGTTAATTGCCGGATAATTGTTTATGTACAGTCGGCACATATTCATCCCATTGGGCCTGATAGAAATTTCCTGCGACAGGCTCTCCGAGATAATACTTCTCAGCGAAAGCAGCCGCACGGAATTTCGGACGTCCATTGCGACTGGTGTTGCTTACTCGTTCTTCGCGGAATTCCAGTTTAGTCTGTTGTTTATACAATAGAAACACATAGCGATGTAGACCTGTGCCCTGCGGCGGCCCTGATCCTACATATGCACTCAACATTTCACCTTTAGCCACATCACTCCCGGGTATGTTGCCAACTAACCAATGCTTGAACTCACGCGATGTCGGTGCGCTTCGACTTGGCGCATCTGGGTCTGTCATTATAAGCGTGTAATAGGTATTGTGATCTGCTTGCCAATCCACAGATGGTTGTGATTTTACTTGTGTAGGAGTCAGTTCTGCGCCAGCTTGTACTTCCAATGAGTTGTCATATATTACCTATTAGTTTTAGAAATCAGTTACTGTTAAAATTTGTATCTAGTTATTATGTAAATTTGAACAATTATAAACACCTTTAAAAACTGGCTTGGCGCATTACGTATAACATCTGGAACAACTTCATGCTGCTCAAAGACCTCCTTTAC